ATACCCCTCCATCCCATTGGACTTTGCCAACTTTCCCTTGTGAGTTGTTCCAAAAAACTTTGTCATTTTCCTATTAAATCAACTAATTTGTTGTTCTGCTCATTTCTCACTCCCTTGCACCAACCTTCACCACACAGTTTTTACTTTTTTTATTTCTCACCAACTTTTAACTTGGCAAAGTTCACCGAGACGGAGGTAGTATAAAAAATTAAAAAAAAAACTGGGACCGGGTCCACATCTAATGTGGGCCTTAGTTCAACATACCCCAACCCCCAGGACTGACCATTTCGGGATTGGAACGGCTCAGAACCGGACCGGGTTTGCATCAAATGACACTTCATCACGTGTAGTGTGGCCTTCCTCCTCATCATGCTAAAGTTGCTACTTCCATGAATGCAATGATTCTGTCATGTACTCATGTATTCAAGATTTCAAGGAGCTGCTAGTTCAGTGGCAGATGTGGATCTTATGTTTTGGGTGTTAGAAACTAAGTTATAATTAAAATTATCATAATAATCATATCATTCAATAATTGCGTATTTGTTAATAAAAAAGTACTATATTGAAAACTAAAACATACTACCTCCGTCCTGAAAAGGTTCGTCATGTTGACTTTTCTTGATCAATGATGTAAACTTTGGACAATGATTTCATTTATTAAATTTGAATATAATTTATAAATTTTGTACTTTTATAAAAATATTTTGAACAAGAAAAATTTTGATATAATCTTCATATTCTAAATAATTTCGTATTAACAAATATCATTGGTCAAAGTTGAGTGTCATTGATCAAGAAAAGTCAATATGGCGAATCTTATCAGGGCAGAGAGAGTAGCATATCAATAAAGTATAATAAAAGTACTGCATTAATTGATTTTTCCTAGTGCTTATGTTTTTCTGAAAATAATCTAAAATTTCTTCATTACTAATGGTCATAAAGACATCTCTCTCAATGAATGTCATGAGGCTATCATTTAACCATTAGTCTCCCATCTTGTTCCTCAATTCACTATTGACATTCTTCATTGCTTAAAAGACACGTTCCACACTCGCGATTGCTATCGGCAAGATCAAAGCAAGCTTCACAAGCTTATAAACGACACCATAAGTCTTGTATTCTTTGGTTGCTACTAGTTTCTTTGAAAGGTCCGCAATCCCTACTAATCCTGAAAAACGAGGATTTAATCTCATATTCTCAATGTGATTGCAAACTGATTGATAAAATGTTGTCATCCTCAACAACTTCTCCTCATCAAAATCCACTGTTAGAGGCATGATTTAGGCATGCAACACAATGTAACAATTCAGTATTTTCCACACAAACCTAGCATTAAGCTCCTTCAATTGCAAATCTAAAATACTAACAAGACAATCAGTCTTGTAATGATGCAAATTCGTAACAAAAGAAGTTTGATGGTGGGATCTTTTTTATTGGTGATAGGGTCCATCCATATTAGGCACATATATATTTATATAAATCAAGAAACCCGCTTTTACCGACCCGTCCACGTGACACGGCCCATCACATGTACCGAAACCCCACCGACAACCGCTTTTATGCCCCGTTCACGTGGCACGCCCCACGCACCATGCCGAAACCAGTTCTCTTATGCCACAGTTGATTTTGTTCGCATGGACCCACAAAGACCCATGTGAAGAAGTTCCAGAGGACGTGAGGACGTGTAGTAGATGCTGTCATTTTTGCCTTATGAGAAGCTCTTTTCATTTTTCCCAAGTACTCAAGAATTGAAGAGATGATCATTCTATTTTTGAAATGCTGGCAGACCAGTGACAAGCTTCTTTGATGATAATATATGTAGATCACAATTTAATGATTATAGTGATCATATCATGATCGCTAAGACGTAATATATTGCGACATACACAAAGGTTCAAAAGAGAACATCGCAATTCAGGAAGCCATCAAAGCCTTTCTATGAAGGCCTAAGCACTCGATCAAGGCCAAGGTAAGTAATCAAGGCCCGATGTACCACTGAGGACCCCATTCCCAATTAGACCCTACACGGATGAGGCTAAACGGGCTAGCTCCCGCCTTCGATTATTCCGGTTTCTTCTGGATGGGGTCAAGCGAACTATCTCCCACCTTTGATTCTTATAGACTCTTTTGGATGAGATCGAGCGGGCTAAATTTGCCTCAAACTCGGCCATAGTTTCCATATCTAGTCATTTCCAAACATTCCAATCACATGTGACAGAGTTCATGTCATAGTACGCTTGCTTACATCATTATGCAATGATTCTGAGGCTTGCATCATCAACCACCATTTACATCATGCTTACACCATGCTGACATCCCCATAACATCACCAATGTGTTCCTCAAGACATGCAAGGAATGATATGTCATTGTTCTATATGTTGGGTGTGTCTCGGAAAAACGAAAAAATTTTAATTAAATAAAATTAATTAATAAATAAAATAGCCAAAGAAAAACGGAAAATAGATGGAACGGAAATTAGCCAACGCTCGTGCTACACACGATGTCCTTAAAATGTATTCGTTGTCTCCCTGGGTGCTAGGGCCTAGAAGCGTTGCAACGATCGTTTCCCAGGATACGATGACTACAAACAATTGTTTGAGCACTCAACAAATTGTTCCAACGAACGGAAGCCAAGTATGAAGACTTAGGAATGTTTCAGAATTCTGGAGGTGTGTTTTAGCTCAAAACGTTTGTGCTAACTGTGCTGTGGAATGTGTTGTTGCAAAACACCTGCCAGATATATATAGGGACAGATTTATGGTGCGTTAACTGAGTTTTAATGGACCTGAACGTTGGACATAAATGGCTAGCACATTGGGCATTAATATGTCGAAAACTGTCCATTTAAAGACGCATCAAAGGAACCGATTGTTGGGCATTTAAAGGTTGTAACGCCTTCGAGCAATTCTGGCGCGAACAGGAGCAGAGCGTTTTTATTGAGAACAAAACTCGAGCAATTCTGCTAGTCTGGAAAAATAAGGAACGTTACGGGAAGAAACAAAAATTAAATCGTATCTTTGAAAGATAGATTTTTGGACGACACTCGTATCCGCAGGTCACCCACGCACCCAAGTCGCGATTTTTCTTCTCTGTTTATTGATCGATAAATTTAGTAAGCTGAAAGTAGAGTTGCCCATCTCAATCCTTATATATATGGAGTATTTATCATCGAAAAAATTTCACTTTTGGTCTCACGACTATTATGTCATTTCCATATTACTCCATTGACTTTCAATTTAACCAAATCTAGTTCGTGACCTTTTCCCCTTCACCACCTGTCGTCCTTCCGACCACAACTCCGGCAAATTTTAACCGGAAACCAACTAATGAAGGTTAGTTGCGTCATTTAATAGCATTTATAGATTTTCTTATCGAAAAAATTCCACTTTTGATCTCATGACTATTATGCCACTTCCACATTACTCCCTTGACTTCCAATTTAACCAAATCTAGTCCGTGACCTTTTCCTCTTCACCACCTGTCGTCCTTCCGACCACAACTCCGACAAATTTTAACCGAAAACTAATTTATGTAGAAACATTGGGGTCATTTTAGTAATTGTATGTTATTAAAACGGCTACCTACAAAATTAACTTCAATTAATGTTGTGGTAATACGCCGGTTTCCTTCATTCTCAAAATCGAAGTCTTCTCCAATTTCCCAAACTTCCGTCAACCTGGAAAATCCCCAACCATCGTTTGAACAATGAGGACCCGTCTGGACCGTCGGAGTGAAGGAGAAGGAACAAGTGCGACGTTTGCCAACAAATGTTGGTGATAAAGGTAAGAGGCTGAACTTTTTTTAAAAAGAGTGGAAGAAAGTAATGAATACAAGGCTGAAATGAGGTGTATATAATTGGTGTTTGCACATGTTACGTTCGTCCACTCTTTTAAAAAAAATACTCCTGTTTTTCAGCCTCAACATAAAACCCCTAACATGTGCAAACACAAATTATATACACATCATTTCAACCTTGTATTCATTACTTTCTTCCACTCTTTTTAAAAAAGTTTAGCCTCTTACCTTTATCACTAGCATTTGTTGGCGAACGTTGTTCAACATTTGTTCCTCCTCCTTCACTCCGACGGTCCGGATGGGTCCTCATTGTTCGAACGATGGTTGGGAATTTTTCAGGCTTACGAAAGTTTGGGAAATTGGAGAAGACTTCGGTTTTGAGAATGAAGGAAGCCGACGTATTAACTCAGCATTAATTGAAGTTAATTTTGTAGGTAGCCGTTTTAACAACATACAATTACTAAAATGCCCCCAATATTTCTACATAAATGAGTATCTGGTTAAAATTTGCCGGAGTTATGCTCGGAAGGACAACGAGTGGTGAAGGAGAAAAGGTCACGGACTAGATTTGGTTAAATTGAAAGTCAAGGGAGTAATGTGGAAGTGACATAATAGTCATGAGACCAAAAGTAGAATTTTTTCGATAAGAAAACCTATAAATGCTATTAAATGACACAACTAACCATCATTAATTGGTTTCCGGTTAAAATTTGCCGGAGTTGTGGTCGGAAGGACGACGGGTGGTGAAGGGGAAAAGGTCACGGACTAGATTTGGTTAAATTGAAAGTCGTGAGACCAAAAAGGAATTTTTTCATTTATCATCGTTTCTTGTAAAATACCCGACATATATCAGAAATCGGAATCTGAATAGGAATCGAATAATCTCAATGCCAAACAGGCACTAAAACTAACTATTTGGATCTGATTCTTAAAACTGCTTCTGCTCCTTCAGGGAGCAGAAGCAGAAGTTGGGGTGTTTGGATGAAAGTGCAGAAGTGATTCTGTTGCTCTAATTTACTCCTAGAATAAGTTTTTTTAGAAGCTGGGGGTGACCAGCTTCTGAAAACTGATTCTGATTCTACTTCTACTTTAAAAAAGAAGTAGAATCAGAATTAGTTCCAAATATCCTAGGAGTAGGGAGGAATTCCGAGCCCTAGAAAATTACCCTTGGGGTTTTTACCTGTTTGTGACTACTACCTTCCTAGAGAATGGAGTGATGACAGAAGATTTTGTCATATTCTGGTGAAGGCCACCTGCAAGTCTGCAACACCAACATGTTCCTTCATTTTGCAGATTGAGAATTCACTTCTTTAATCCATGCTTTGTACATTCAAACTCAAACCTCTTTTAGTTTGACTATGCATTCTACCTCTGTTACTCCATGGCAGAATTGCCGCTACTGTCCAATTCCCAGCGGGTTTACCTCTCCCCATTCTCTTCTTATCCCTAAGAAAACCATCCGCCTCACTCTACGCTCAGCCGCCTCAGCCGCCACGCACAGCTGCAGTACGGAGCGCGTAAAGCAAAATCAGCCAAGTAATTCTGAAGACCCCGTTCGAGAAAACCCGGTGGCTTATCAAGATTACAGCTTTTCCGTCAATGAGAAAGATATACATCTGGAAGAGGACGATAGAGAACCCGAGAGGGGATTCACGAATTCTTTGGTCGCTTTAGTAAAGGTGTGGTGGGCAGCCATAAAAGCTGCATTGGGGCAGAGGATTAACGTGGAGGGTGTTATTTCTTCTCTGGGAATTTTCGCTAAAGACAAGTATTTGGTGATCCCGCATATTGCTGTGCCTGATATAAGGTACATTGATTGGGCTGAGCTCAGGCGAAGGGGCTTTGAAGGGGTCGTCTTTGATAAGGACAACACCATCACTGCTCCTTACTCGTTGCGCTTGTGGACGCCTCTGGGATCGTCCATAGAGCAGTGTAAAGCTCTGTTTGACAACAACATTGCGGTTTTCAGTAACTCTGCAGGTGACTTGCTGTTACATTTCTGGGTACTTTTGTAATTTTTTCGGCAGTCAGTTCTGAAATTACCCATCTCATAATGTTTTTTCTGAACTTTAGGACTATTAGAGTATGATGCCGAATATAGAAACGCAAAGATCCTTGAGCGTGCTATTGGAATTAAAGTAATCAGACATAGTAAGCTCTTAACATCCTACTTGTCCAAATTTGTAAGACTGACATACAAATTAGGCTGCATTTACATTAGCACGAGGCCATGAGGGGATGGTCTGGAACAATAAGAATGGTAACTTACTACTCTGTGCAATATGAACTTTAGAGGTGAAGAAGCCTGCTGGAACAGCGGAAGAAATTGAAAGGCAGTTTGGTTGTGAATCCTCAAAACTTATTATGGTAGGTGGAGACTTTTGATTTGGAAGAATTGTATTCAGGTTTGTTCCCTATAAGAAACTATTGTTCGTAATGCAGGTAGGTGATCGGCCTTTCACAGACATTGTTTATGGAAACAAAAATGGTTTCCTAACTATTTTGACTGAGCCATTGAGTCTTGCTGAGGAACCTTTCATTGTAAAGCAGGTAGCTGCATTCTTTAAACTTCTTTCATTTGTAGGTGTTCTAACTTCTAACTTATTGTACGTGAATATAAAATTGATCGAATGGATATTCTATTGTTTCTTCATTTATTCATGACTTCTATTTTATGGGAAATGTGGATGAAGGGTTTTTCTCCATGCACTATGTGGCCTTAGATATTTTGTATTTTATCTTCAATTCCATGATACAGTATTGATACCTTTAGTTAGTGCAGGGCTGCAGGCTTGCAGTCTAGATATGCAATGGAGCCAAAGATTCATTATTTTTTGGCTTGAGATTATGATGGAGTAAAGAAAAATGGCTCACTAAATTGTCTGCGCTTCTTTGTTATGGAGCAGCAGTCAGTCCATGCAATCTTGGACGCGATTTTCACTATGGGTCATCCGGAAACAGTCTCTCTGTGCTTTAGTACAGGGGTAAGACTGCGTACATCCGACCCCCCCTTACCCCACCGTAGGTGGGAGCCTTTGCGGCACTGGGGTAAATGAAAATGATGAAAAATGAATGAGTTATATATTGACAGTTGGTATCCATAACTCTTTGGGATAGCCCTAAGCCCCTAAGGCTCTAGTTTGTCACTTTCCAGTCGAGAACCTTACCCAGTTTGCTTCAGATAAGCGTTAGTTCAGTGTGAAAAAGATACAATCGTTTTTGCCAATTTGCAACACATTGACTTACATTTTTAGTAATGGAGCGAAGTCCTGACACATTTTTTGTCCTTGGGTTGAACCATTGATAGGAAACGCTGTTAAAGTCGAGTTCCTAGCTAGGATCTGATAGGTTTAGAGATTTGTAACTCGTGAATTTTTATATCCTGGACTCCTAGCTAATATGACTTTTTATTTATAAATTATACTACCTCCGTTCTTAAATAAATGCAACACTTTGACTTTTACACTATTCCCATGTTCTACTTTGACTACGTTTTATTTATTAATGTAATAATATAATTTTATGAAAAAATATTGTTAAACTTGTCTCATTGTAAATTTTCATAATCTAATTTTTTTAATTTTTTACTAATACAAAATCATTTATATTAATGGTCAAAGTTGTGTCTCGGCAAGTGTGAAATGTTGACCGTTGCATTTATTTAAGAACGGAGGAAGTATATAACAGCTTATATTTTAATTTAGTCATAAGTTATCCATACTACTAAGTTATTAATTCACAACAATATATCTGTATATTGTTGTGACTTAATAATATGAATGCTGAGTAAGAAAAATTTAGACTGGGTTGAAGAAATCAATGGAGATAGAGAGAAGAGAGAGAGGAGGAAGAAGAAGAATTCTTACCAGTTCGTCAAGCGCTAGTTCAGTACGCAGAGTCCCAGAGTACAATCTGAAGATCAATTACTAATAAACAATGGCTAAAAGCGATGAATCTAAAGAAGAAGCATGAAAATATATGATGAGTTGATGACATTATGAAAGAGGCTTCAACATTTCTAGGTTTCAAAAGTTTTTCTTCCGGTTTTTTGGATCTGGGAATTTGGGTCAATGACAAACGGGTCAAACGTTTCACGGATCGACCAGTTGCCAAATAGCAAATTACCATGGTGGAAATATAGCATCTTGCATAGAAAATACCTGAAGACTGGTGGGTATGTTGCTTTAAGGAGCAGCCATATGGCTGAGCTTTTGCCATCTTCAATTGATAACACTGGGGTTGACACAAATGACAAAACAACGATATGTTGATCTTATGATCGAACCCGGCGGTCCTAAGCGAGTGCAGAATTTTATTTGTGAAATATCTAGATCACCTTGGGCAGATTTATCTTATTGAAGCGAGATAGTTTCATTGAATAGATTGAGTACAAATAGGCGTTTAAGCTAAGTATATAAATATGGAAGGTTTCTTTCATCATGTACTAGCCAATTAAATTTTTTACCCAGTTCGGTCCTCTCGCATCGCTGTTTCTCGTACCATACTGTTCCTCAATCAAAATAAACCTGCTGCCCATCACTTATCGGTGGACTGGGTAACCATAACTATGTAGTTATCATTGCTTATTCTCATCCTCCCTGACCTTTTTTCTAGCAAGATTTATTGGGTTTGTTTTGTTTACGCAGCCTTTTGTGGCTTGGTGTCTTAGAATGTTTTTACTTGGACTGAAAGTTACTGGTCTCTCTGGTCTGGTAAATGTCTGCTCTCTGTGTATTTTATAACTGTCCAAGTCTGGTCTGGTCCGAACTGGTTTGGTCTGGTCTAGGACTGAAAACAGTCCAAGTAAAAACATCCTTAGTCACTCATTATCTGTTATCGTTAATCCCCTGGCTCATCATAAGCTTATGTAACAAACCTCAGCATATTCAGCCAAATATATTACTCAACTGCTACATATTTTAGGTATTCAGTATCATGCTATCTATGTGATTCTTAACGGTAGTAGTTAACCATTAGTTAAGAAGGATACTGGAGTCTGAGAGTCTTTCAAGCATTTGGTATCTTTATGCAAAATATGGAGATCTAGTTAAAAAGGAGAGGAGAGGTATGTGTAATGTGGATGGTAATCTCCATATTTTGCCATCTGTCACGTATTAACTCTTCATTAGCATTGTCATCAGACCGGTCTGTATATAAACCAAAATGTTAAGACTATTAAGAAAGATCAAATGGACAAGATCAGTATGGAAAAGATGTGTAGGTTTAGATGGATGTGTAGTAATCTTTTGGGATTAAGGCTTGGATGTTGTTGCATGTCCCATAATGTTGTTTCTTCTTTTGGTTTTGGGATGTCCGGAATTTTCTTCCATTTCCCTTTAACGAAAGATTTGTGTGGTTGGTATCATTTATCTGGTTTTTACATCAACCACAGCTATACTATTTCACTTTCCTAATAAATTTGCCAAGTCAAAATGGATAGAAAATTTTGGGACGGCCAGAATATTTATGGATTGAGGAGGTTTATGAGAAAATAAGAGACTAAGAGTAGCAAATATTGGAGATAAAATTAGGAACTGACTACATTGGTTTGGACATGTTGTTCTGGAGAGGAAGGTCCTCTAATATGTGAGTGGAGTGCTGGAAAATGGGAGATCGCAATCATGTGAGACAAGAATGATATGTATACATGGAGTCAGAAGTGAAACTAGGTATTGTTGAAGGCTTCAGGGTTACATAGTGCGATCGGAAGATGAGAATAGTTGATGATGGCCTCATTACCTCTTTATTCTATTAGCTGAACTTATTTATTTCAGATTTAGGGCCCGTCCATTTTTATCTCTTGAAATTTGTGCTTGGCTGTTTGGATAGGGTATGGTTACGGCCTACTCTGTGGAGATATGTGACTGTCCTTAGTTTTAGTTGCTCCAAGAACACATGCCACGATCACTTGGAACCTGGCAATTATTGCATCGCAATTGTCATGGAAGATGACAATGCATAAATAGTCAACTTGGCTCTATTTTATGTTTTGTAGCATCTTGTGGTTTATGTGATTGCTTACAACCAAGGTTGTTAAGATCACGATCTAACTCGCTGAATCGTACGATTTTACGATCAGAAAAGGCAGGGTCGAGTTGGATCGCTGCTTGGATCGGAAATAGGCTTACGAGTAGAAACGTAACTCGTACGAATCGTCGATCTAATTGAGTTGTGATTTCTCAGAACAAAAAAACGGGAAACGAAGGCGGAGTGATGTCTGGAACGGCGAGTTTTAAAAAAAGTAATCATCGATGCCTTATGATGAAGCCCAAACGCGACCTGCAGCGTTAAGCTTCCCTGCTTCGTCGGCTTTAAATCACTGTTCCTCTTCGTTTTCTTCATCTCTTCTCTTTTTTATCGCTCTGTTCTGTGTCGACCGCTTCGTCCACTTTTCTTTTTTAAAATCGTCCGATTCCTTAGTAGTAAACTAGGTTTAGTGGTTCAGTTCTGATAGCAATAATAAGGCTTGGGCTCATGGCAAGTGGGTTTATCTTTTTATTAAATCGTCCCCTTCAAATGTTATGTTAGGTGTTTTATAATATGGAGTATTGCTTTTAGTCTTGACATTATGTTATTAAAATTATAATTATATTATTATTAATTATTAATATATATTTTTTAGAAGATATTTGGTGTTTACATAGAATAGAATTGAATTATATATATGGCTGTGTATAATATATATATACATACACACACACACACACACACATATATATATATATATATATTGCATGGTAGGATCTTACGATCCCCGAGTTACGATCTCCTAGACCTTGTCCGATCCGTGCTAGGATCTCGAGTTTAACAACCTTGCTTACAACAACTCTGAAAAAACATAAATGAAATCATAGCATTATGTTATGTATGTATGACATGTGTTCTGTTCTTTTAATATGGACAATGGCGATATCATAATCAGTTTACAACATGCAAAAAGAGGGGAAAGTAGGAAAATAAACTATTTCCTTTATGCATCTAGAGTATTGACATATATATGTATATATACTCCGTATGTCATATGTATAATCATCCCATTGGTTGTTGCAAACTTGCAATAGGAAAGTTGACTTGTTTCCTAAATACAAGGACTTGCATTTACTGAACTAAAATACTTGCAGGTCAGGGTAATTGAAAGGGCCATTGTGTATCGGTGGTCGGTGAAAGGAGTGCATCCAATAAGTCATAAACTCGTTTCTGACTGCAAGCAATGTGTAAAAGACAAACCAACCTAGACAGCAGAATGGTAGAAGTTCCGTTTAGAGGACAATCATCTAATTAACAACTGTAACTTGCCCCCTTTTTGTCTCTATTGGTAGTCTGTATAGGCTGAAAAGGCATGAAAGCATTTCTTCGGTTCAGAACTCAAAGAATTGCAATGAAATGAATATGAATGAATTGCTCCAATTATATTTTCCTAAGTGATGTGTTTGGAAGAAATAGTGATACTACGGTACTACCTACTGAGCTTCTGTTATAAGTACATTGAGATGTAACATAGGTTAGGCTTAAGAGGTCGTGTTTAGGTTGGCCTACTGCCATGACTTCCTGAGGTCAGGTTGATATGTCTCTTTATGACCTCTACATTTTCTTGGTACTTCTATATTGTATACGGCCAGGTGTAATATGATTTCAGGTCAGGTAACTCACTTGTACTGGATCTGCTTTTGATTTGATTCTTACTCGTTTGCATAGCCTTTAAGAAATATAGCATAATTAGAACCTTGCTTGGGGCGGGGGGGGGGGGGGGGGGGGGGGGGGAACCCTTGATTAGAGCTATAGCCGAAAAAGACAGGCCCTACAAAAGACCTTAAGCAAAGTGAGCCTTTTGGTCGAAAACGTTTCACTACAGATTTCACAAGATCACTCTACATTCTACAAACATGAATTTTCAGACTGTTTAGGGGTTGTTCGGTTTTAGACAGTGAAAGAGAGAAGACCAAACAAGAACGAAAATGCCGCTAACTAGGATCGCCATCAACAAGAAGTTGAATGTTCCTGTGGAAATAGAGAATGCCCTATTTGAGCTCTTCGTAAGGCACATCAGCACATGAAGCTGCAAGAGGACTGGGAAAAACCAGGAGTGATTGTGAAACAAATTTTAAGTATTTACTTAAAATTGATCGCAAATAATAATATGTGAGAATATTGGGTACAATCTCTAAATATGAATCCTCTGATTCTTCACTTGCAATTTGACATGAATATAATTAAAGAAATCAATTCAAAATTAAATCTTTAATCCTTCAAACGTTCGAACGTTCTTCAGATCTTCAAATCTTCGTTCTTGAGATCTTCGAATTTTCGAATCTTCGTTCGTCGGATCTTCAAATCTTCTTGAATTAAGAATTCAACTTGAAGGGCCTCCGGTTTTCAAGTGGCTTGATCTTCAACAAAAGGGCCGTTTTATGGCTTGATCTTTTGTTTAAGGGCCTCCCGGGATATATGGCTTGATCTTCAATTGAATTTCAATTCAATCTTCATATGAGCATCTTCAAATCTTCAAAGATTCGTTCTTCATATCTTCGAATCTTCAAAGTCTTGTTCTTCATATCTTCGAATCTTCAAGCTTCGTTCTTCAGATCTTCGAACGTTCTTCAACTTTTGGATTTATTTTATTAAGAATCGACGAAATCACGAAGGATTATTCGTATATTCTTAATAAAAATCGTGGCTTGATCTATTCCTCTTCTTCAGAATCGTTCAGAGCCTTTCGAGAGTTCTTGAGAGCTTTTCTGAAGTGCTTCTTCGTCTGAAAATTCTCCTCTTTTTCCTCTCAACTGAGACCTCTATTTATAGGAGTGGAGGGGTGAAAATATGCTTTAGGGTTGCAGAATTTCGTTCATACCTCATGAGCCTCAAATAAAATGGATTTTGGGCTCTATTTGCTTGCATTTAATAGCCAGAAAAAATCAGCACTTGTTCGATGTATCTGGACAGCTTCTTTAACAAGGTTCATAGCTATTTTTCATGCATATAGATACATTTCTTAGCTAGATTCGTTGTCTTCTTCGTAAGGTGGATCACACCTCCTATTTATTGGGCAACTATTTAATAACGGGCTCAAAATTAATAGGACTGATCCATTCTCTTAAAGATTTAATTTATAATTAAATTAATTGGATATTTTGAATGACCCGCATTAATTCAATTATTTACTCGAATGGGTCCATATTAATAATTTTATAAGGCCCAACAACCATCGGTCCATCACTAGCAGCCCAACATAATTCAACGTTGGCCCAATAATTTTTTATATGTCCATAAATGTCCCCTCGAGATTTACTTGAACGTTCTTTAACGAGCAAAGTAATTCTCGAATATGAATTGAGTTGGGCCGTCTTTAAAATTTATTCTTCTTTCGCCCTGAACCATCCGTTACGTGGAAATTTATTCTTTGCCAATTCTTCTTTTAAAATGGCTCATCACAATATCGATGTAGCAGTTATGCTCAAGCCCAAACACTGATCTTATTAACTTGCAGGTGTTCAAGTGTTCAACTAGGATTCAAGTTCACATGCCATAATTAGGAGATAATAGAATCCTAATAGAATTCCAATGTTAGAAACGGGCTTCTGTATAAATATAATCCCTGCTCAAATATAATCTCACCATCGATTTTGAGATCCAGAGCCATCAAAATTTCTGGAAGCAAATTTCATAGCAGGTAATTTTTTTTTTCTACTATTCTTTCTCCTCCCCTTTTTTTTTGCGTACTGCAGGTGTAAAGAAATTCCAGAACTATAATGAATTTGGGACGAATTTGAGAGAAGAAGAAACCATCTCGTTGCCTGACCTGCTCATTGAGAGAAGAAGAAACCATCTCGTTGCTCCCCCCCCCCCCCCCCCCCCCCCCCCCCCCCCTTGGGACGAATTTGGCTGCTGCAATGCCGCTGGTGCTATTGCCGTCGGAAATTAATGCCGAAATCTGAAGTGGACGAATTTGGCTGCTGCAATGCCGCTGGTGCTATTGCCGTCGGAAATTAATGCCGAAATCTGAAGTGATTTATCTAATCGCTGGTGGCTGCGGTGGTGTGGTTTCGTCGAGCTCACGGTTGAATTTCGGAGGAGGCCTATGCAGTCGGCAGCTGGGGTCGAGGTTGCTTTGCTGCTGGTCAGAGTTTCGTTGATGCGGCGGGAAGAGGCTTCAAAGAAACGAAGCTGCTGCTGATTTCCTTTTTATTACTCTTGCTTTCGTCAAAGAGGGAGCAGCAGACTTATGGCTTTGCTCTGGTTCGTCGAAGAAGAAGCCGGAGGAACGGAGGTCCCCTGTTTCGCGTGGGTTCTGCGTTGGAAGAAGTTTGACGGGAAGATTGGGCCAGCTTCCTTAATTTTAATAAATTAGGCCTTTTGGGCTTATTTTATGTTTTGAGCCTTCTCATGAATCCGTGCAAATGTGCAATTCCGAGATCGAAACGAGGCCCTTGTTTTTCGCTATTTCAAGTGATTTAATCATTGCACCACTTATTGAAGAGGAAGGAGTTCGGTCAATCGCTGGTTGATTGCTGGTTGTCGGTGCTGCTTGGGGCCCTTCGTTGGGCTAGTGGCACCGATCTAAGGAATTAGGCTGATTGTCGGGTGTCAGTGTCACTTGGGGCCCTTCGTTGGGCTAGTGGCATCAATCTAGAGAATTCGGCTAATTGCATTTGTCGAAGACTGAGATGTTGTCGCTATTTTCAACCTTTGTCCATTCTGAAGGAGGTTGACTAATTATTAGCCAGTATTACTGATTTCTTTGTTCGTCTAGTCGGAAGATGAAGTCAATTGCTCGAGCTTGAGATCGATTAACATTGCTGAGCGGCCCCCCCTTTTTTTTATTATTACTTTTTTTAGTAATAGTAATAATGATGATGATTTTTTTTTATCTCCTTTTTTTTGCAGTCCAAAATGATATCTTTTAAGGACGTAAGGCGTGGAGACAAAAAGTATCTTTCCATATCAACGAGCAAGAAGAATGACGAAGAGATTCTTTTGGAGATGCACAAGCCATTTGCTCGCGAGTTTTGGGGTCCAACGGTTGTGTCCTATCGAGTTACAAACTGGACTCCTGAGTGCGAGTATCAAGCTCAGACAATGTGGACTTTAGTATCTGGCTTTACTCACATGTCCTCTTCTAAGATTCTTCCTTCTTTGGGTAGACACATCCTTGACGAAAACGCCCCTTTGACAAAGACCTTATCATTTGGTGGTGAGTTTAGATTCATCACAGGTTATTGGGACTGGGTCGAAGATATTTTGGGCATGAGTAAAAGCATTCTGGAGGAAGGGCTTATTTACGATGCTATTTATGCCTCATTATTCACGTATGACCGATGTACTAATGCTATTCAAGCATTTTGTGAGGCATGGTGTCCTACGACGAATACTTTGCTTACGTCAATTGGCGAATTGACGATCACACTTTGGGACTTGCACGTTATCGGAGGATTGCCTATCATAGGAGACGCGTATGATGAATCTATTCCGGGCACTTCTGAGTTGTTAAATACGAGTGCTGACCGTTCACTTCATCTCTGCAAATATTTGTTTCACGCATATCATCATCTTTTTCCCAAAGCCGGAGATAAGCGTGTTTTGTGTGTTCATGCGTGGGTAAAATTCTGGTTCAGAAAGGCCTCCAAGTATACTATGCCTCCAGTGAGAACAGAAAAGAAACGAACTCCTCGTGTCAAGGCGACCCATAATCCGAGCGGAGCTATTCCAAAATTTGGAGGATGGTCGAATTCTATTAGGGTACCATTCCACGTACTCAAGGTTCCTGCTGAATATGAGGAAGAGGTATATTTAGCGGCATTTTTATCGTGTTGACTTTGCGCATTTGTATTGCCGCATGAAGGTCCTAGAGTTATCCGCCCGGAAACATTCAGAGTTGCTTGTATGTTGGCTCGAGGGAAACGTGTATGCCTTGCGGTCCCGGTTCTTGCAAGTGTCTATCATGGGCTTAATCGGATCTCGAATGCTCCAGCCCCTGATCAAGTTAGAACGTGTTTTCCCGTTCACTATGTTTATGGATGGTTGGCATCATACTTTGATACGCATTTTAAGAATGAGATCCAGTCCACGACGCCATTAATGATTTCTTATCCAGGAGAAGGTGGAGCGAGATTCCTCGAGAAGAGAAGTGCGCGCAAACGAATTTTCCAGGGAGATGTATCAGCATGGGTGTGTTCTACACATCGGAGAATCAAAGAATATTCATTCTTCAATGGTAAAAATCCTCCAGAGGCTGAGTTGGCGCTATTTAGGAGTCTTCGGTCTAATTATCTTGTATTACGCTACCGGGATCATTGCATTGCTGAGCCTTACACTCCTCACCGCTTTAGTCGCCAATTTGGGTATTTTCAGGCTTATGCTTCTGGCTTTCTTGAGATGCGTAATCGGAGTGTCACACTTGCTGCTGGCTT